GTCATCTACTGTAGCTGTGACACTGTGGCAAAGTTGCAAAAAAGTGACTTGAGGTTGGGTCATTTAAAGTGACCTGGTGACCTGACCTGAAAAGAAAAAGGTTCAACTTTGCACTTCATGTATAAAATTGATGAAAGAATAGTCATGCCAAATTTCGCGTCGCTATACGCGCCGCGGTTTTCCCGCTATTCACGAAAAACCTCAAGGGGGCGGATACCCCCCCCCCCGTCGGTGCGCAGGTTAAGTTTTTCGCGAATATCTCAAAAATGGCGGCACGCAGCGCCACCGTTTCAGTACATCTGTTCATACACCTGTTCCGCACGTGAAAATTTCAGACCCGGATCGCGTTCAACGTCAGGTCACCAGGTCAAGTCAAGTGCCCTTACCTACCCCAGAAAAAGTTCAAAGGCTCGCTGTATGCTACATCGACTGAACGATCGATTTGAAGCTTTCAACGCTTGGGGAGGGTCATAACCGTCATAGCAATCATTCCTCACCACAGAGTGTGGGAATAAAAAATTAACGGAAACAAAATCTTAGAGGGAATAATTAACTTTCCCGATTTTTTGCAATGAATTTATGATTTTTATGCTCAAAATCAGCAAAGAAAAATAAAACCTTGTTATAAGAAGATTATTTCGTATATTTTAATAATAATATAGGAAAAATTATATTCTATAAAAATATTGTTAGACGCAGATGTTTATTACGCGTTGACCAATCATATTGCGTAGTTCAAACGCATTGGCTGTAAGCCAGCATGCTGATTGGCTGGCGCCAAGCTGAGGCTGAGGTGGCTGCATTCTGGGCATTTCTTTATTATGACACCACGTTCCTGTTTAGGACACTCTTTTCGGAACGATAAATGGAATATCTTTGCCTATGGGTGATCGTTGGGACGTAAAAGCTTCTGATTTGTGCTGGTCTCAGCTCAATCTACAAAACTGCTCTTCCAGTTCAAAACCCCATGTTAAAAGTGAACTATTTCCTTTAAATAAAAGTTAAAACAATCCTTTTGTACTGATCTCGATAGAATCGAAGTTAACAATCTGATTCACGTAGATATATTGGACTACCTGTCCAATATATCTACGTGAATGCATGTAGTAAAGAGCAAGTAGCATACGAATATATTCAAGTAGCAGTAATAGGCAATAATCGTCAATAGGGCATGGAAGACAATTGACTAGTTGTTTGCATGACATGCTCATCTTTAGCGGCTCGAAATAACATTTCTCAAAAAGTCTAACTAAAGAGCAAGTTGTTGTTGATTATCTCTGACTTGTGTTTGGGGGTTCATACTGACTTAATTATTGACTTTGGCCCAAAAAATTTGACAGCATTGTGTGCGTTGATCAATTCTGAGCTCAGGGACATATATTTTATTCAGATTATAAGCATTCGTTTTTCATAAAGTTCGGCGCTTTAAAGAGCGCCGGGCCGTCAGTAGAGCGGCGAGGTGACAATTGCCCCTACATCATATGGTTTACTGGCGCATATCTCGAAAAGTAGCAGGGAAAAGCAGCAAAGCACCTATATGGAACGAAAGATGAGTAATCAGAGGCTAGTATAAGATGTTCATTCTTAGCCGCTCGAAATAACGTTTTTATAAAAGTCTATTTAAAAATTTAGATATGATGTTTATTATGGTCTTGCAGCTGCTTGCAAAAAGCTAGCTTATCTTGCAGAAAAGCGATGCAATATGTAAGAATGTTGTTGGTACAGTGAACAACAGTGCCCTGAACTAGTCTGACAGAAAATTGCGTTCAAAACGACAACTGGTCAAATAATAAATATCAACTAAAGATGAGCATTAAAATCGGCAAATGTGGTGGCCACTAGCGGGTCTAAATAGTCTTGTGTTTGGTGACAACTGACCACCTCAATTTCGACCTTAGGGCAAAAATGGCATCAGAATCGTATGCTTTGATCAATTTGGGATCGAATGATACATATTTTGTTCATATTGTGGAAAGTCACTCTTGGGGGTATTTCTAGCGCTTTTCCGGTCCGCCGGCCCAGCGTGCGCGGTGGCTGACCACGCCCACAAGTCGGTAGTTGTTGTCGCCGGCCAGGTCCAACGAGCGCCGCGACTGGTCGTCCTCCGCACGAAACTCGGACAGGTGCCCCTGTTCGGTGGCCAGGTCTTCCAATTCGCCCTCGTCCTGCGCCTTGAAGATATTGGGCTAAAGCTTGCTAGAGTAGTTCATCAGTGTTAAAGTGGTGGTTTTAAGAGTGGATAATTAGGCGCATAAAAATGATTAAGAAGGACCAAAGAGATAAAATCCGTTTAAGTGGCTGTATTGGCGATGGCGGTACGTAACCAAAGGCAATGGTCGGTGGGTAGGTGGGTGCTACACAGGCAATGGTCGGTGGGTAGGTGCACACAAGGCGGGTAGGTGCCGCCATCGCCCAGCGGAAGGTGAGGGCAGCTCTGTATGCCACCCCCACTCCCGACTGACGGGGAAGGCCGAGGGGAGCAGGGACCGAGCATGATATAATTTGGGACGATAACATAAATGCATAACATGAATGTTAACTTAACAATCAGTGTGCGTTTTATCACATATATTCTGTGTTTTTGTTTGCGAAAAATGAAAATAAAACTTTTTGGAAAAAAATCAAAAAATATGTTTTTGTAATTGTAAAACATCTTTTATAAATTTTCAAATTTCGAAAATTCGAGATAGCGGTTTGATAGCTACGTGTATTTGAAGTCTACTGATGCAAAGAAATTGGATCTACAACATAGCTTAAAACCAAGCTCTTGAGAGCGTTTGCCCTAATTCAATATTTTGCATCAAAATCGGCCGGCATGACGTCACTCTGACGCAATTTCCGGCCAAACTATGGTAGCTACTAGCTTGAAAGTTGAACTTTTAACACAAGGTGTCAAATTGATGCCGCTAAGGGTACCGCAAGTTTCGTGTTGATCTGCCAAGCGATTCAGAAGATATTGCCGAAAAACGGGAGTTAGCGTCTGTAGAGCCCCCCCCCCCCCCCCCAGTCATGCGCTGGTTAAAAGAAAAGAAAAGAAGAAAAAGAAAAGGACCTAATTTGTATTTTGGCTTCCAATATTTTTATATTTTGGCATTGATGTGATAATGGCCCGTGGCCGAAAATTCATCTAAAACAAAAAATACATAAATGAAAAGTATAATTTTGTAAGGTCATTCAAAAGCAACTAAACGATTTAGATCCTTACATTCAGCAAGCAATAAACGAATTGAAAAGAAAGAAATGTTGCTGGTGGAGGTATTGTAGAATTTGCCTAACGGTTAAACGGTTGCCTGTTTGACCGTGAGAAGTCAACATGTGTGTTATATTAAACACAAGCTCCAACACAGTTAGGGGAAAGTGGGTGTATTGCGCCCTCCTAACCAATTGCGCCCACCAACATTCCCACGGATTCAATGGCATGTTTAGAATTTTGTGTTCGAAAACATTTTTTTCACCACTGGATTGTTCATTGTATGGCCCAAACACTCCGATGAAGCCAATTAGCAAGGCTCATTACGCCATCAAAGATGTTATAGCGTTTTCTTAACTTTTTTGCAGTATTTTGAACCGGTGGCTATAAAAATTTACGATATTTGTGTGATTTTCAGAGTGATATTTAGAAAGAAAAACCCGTTTTTCATTGTATATCACTGAAACCGTAAACTTCCTGCAACATCTTTATGATAACTTCTATGCTTTTATTAAAAAGTGCCTCAATTTTAATTGCGCCCATGGCAATTGCGCCAGGGGGGGGGGGGGCGCAAATAGAATAATGGTGTAGCCATTGTATCATGACAGTATGAATGCATCATTAACTGATTGCAATAAAGAAGGAGTTTAATGTCAGGCAAGGGAGCAGCCCGCTGTCGTTAGTCCGCAAATTATTTCTCTCGTCAAACTTATAATGCAGCTGCCATTTAGGCCACGACTTGTGGTGTAATTGACAAAATACGACATTTTCAACATGGACAATGACATTAGACTGCCGGGGTGTATGCATTCCGTCTCATTCACTTAGCCATGTTAAAGGGACCCTCCCACCTTCAGAAAAGTTTATGAACTGGCATGAAAGTGATGTCGCTCGGTTCAGAAAGAGCGAAAACGAATATCTACCAAATTTCACCAAAAAATATTCACCGGTTTTCAAGATATTAGACTTTTACTTTTGTTTACTTTTTTGGGATCTCCGCTGTTTCTAGCGACTTTATTTTAGAAGTGCGGCGTTTGCGGCAGATGTTGCGCGCAAATACCATATACCACCGCGTGCTACCAAACGTTTTAGTCAAACATTTAAAAATCGTTAGATATTTGCGCTGACGTCACACATTCAGAGGGGTATTCCTAAGCATTAGCCCCTCTGAATCAAAATGCTGCAATTTTGAAATTCAATATTTCCGATTTAAGGCATTTCTCGATGTTGTGAGTGCCGAAACCGGTAATTGTGAGCCAGGGACCCCATTTTGGCTATCTCAACTCAAATCTAATGTTAAGGTGGGAGGGTCCCTTTAAAGTATAGGGCGCAATTGGGTTCTAATTGCGCCATCCCCCTGGCGCAATTTGCAGCAGTTGTTGGCAAATGCGCCCTTTTGCATGTTTCTGAAAAAGCAGCTGTCAGAAGCAAACGAAACATTTTTAATTGATCGGGAGGCTCTTAAATCGTAGCCAATGAGCTCGTCTTTGAAATGGTTACCAGTGCATGCTTATATCTCCAGCGGTTTTCTTACAATTAGCGTTTTTCCTTAGGGTGGCGCAATTCACCCTCCTTCCCCTACCTCGCCTTAATGAGTCTATTTAAATAACGAATATTTGCAATAAGTGCAAAAGTGGTCTCATACTTCTTCAACCTTTTCTGCCAGAGGCGCTTTGAAATACATTATGTGTGCCCAGATATTAAAAAGCCACCTACTGCATATCCTGCATATTAACATACGAACCGTATCAAACGATCACAGGTGCCGCAGGTGGCCCTAGGTGTTTACAGGTGCGTAACATAAACAGTTGGTAATGGTCACAAATTACAAGATACAAGATAAACCATTGCAACCCATTATGGGGACGACGAAGCTCTTACAACATGGCAATGTGGCTGAAGACTTATCGTGCATAGCGTATTGCATAATTTGATTTACAAATTTAACAGTAATGTATATTCGCTTTTTAGTTTACCTTATTATCAACAGCAGCATTCATAAGATTTATGCATCTTCTCGTAACGAATCACCTGGTTTAACTGGATATTCAAATCATACGTTGAGAGAACTAGGGGACTTATTGCATGGTTACAAGTTCTTTGACAATTCAGACTATCCAACTCAGTCACTGCCTGGGGGTATCATATATCATCCGAATGAAATGTTGCAAGTCCTTAGAGTACCAGAAGAAAGAGCTGACACTCATGGAATCGATAGTTCGCGTTTGTGGTTCGACAGTGCCGGCAGTGCATTAGTTAATTACTTCGTTGATACGAATACCCATCCCAACGTACAAAAATTCGAGGCATCGTTGAAGGTTTGGTCTCCATACACATGCATTCAGTTCAAGAAACTTCCAAATCATAAATGTGGATACTTCAAGGAGCCTGCCGTTTGTTTGAAGGACGAGGGTGCTGATGTTTGCAGCTTTTCGACAGGCAATCGCCATAAGATAAACGGAGGATATGCACAGGGAACAGGAGTAGAAGGCTGTGAAGACAACGAAACAGCACGTGGTTTGGGCATGCTTTTGGGCTTCATTCGCATCACATTGCGGACTGATCGCGACCAGTTCGTCACAGTAAATTACCACAATTTTAAGCCAGATAAAGTTAAAAGCGGAGGTACCGTGGAAGCCAAATGGAAGAAAGCCTGGTCAATAGGAAGAAAATGCAAGAAGGGCGACACCTTTCAGACTAGCACACCGGTACCGTATGATTATCTAACACTCATGAGTCGTAGCGAAAATGACTTTGGAGATGATGATTGCAGAGTGATATTTGTGACGAAAGACCCACGCCACCAGCATATGCTTGACTTCATAAAGTACGCCGGTCCTTTCACCACTCACCTGGATAGATATCTGCTAAATGTCATGTACAAGTGCAACGAAAAGTGGACGAAGTCGTGTACATCGCAGGGAAAAACTCCACCGAAGTGTAAAAATTTTGGGTATCTGAGCAAAGACTGCAAGTGTATTTGCCAGAAGGGAATCACGGGGGCATCTTGCGAACATGCTGGCACGGGTGCGACAATACCCACTCTGGACAGAGCCGGAACGATTGTTGAGCATCCCGCCGCGGGACTCTTCACTCTGAAGAAGTACTCAAAGATGGGTACATCGCCTCCATACCCTAATGCTGACTTCAAGTACACTCAGTACGCTACCATCATAATCAAAGCAAAGAGCGCCCAGACGACGATCAGTGTCAAGGTGTTTGAACCCGGCTCCGTGGCCGCCAAAGTAAAGAAAAGTGAAAGCAAGCTCATGAAGGAGCTCAACGAACGAGATTGTGAGCTGGGCATGCGATTGTACTGGGGCGACTTTCCTACGGGGCGGCTCAGGACAGAATGCTTCTCCACGTTTGTGACCAATGAGCCTGAGGTGAATGCCGTCTTCCTGCGCCCGAAGACGCAGCAGGTTGGCCTTGTATTCATTGCCCGGCAAGGACAATTGCTGGGGTCCGCCGATTTCACCAAGGAGATGCTTGAGTCGCTCCAATTCGAAGTGTCCTTTCCGCCAAATGCAAGTTCCCAACTGAAAGTTGAAAAGGTGAATGACGGCTCTGACCAGCAACGCCGGGATGGATCAGGAACAGGGGACAGCGGCTCGACGGGAGGTGCTGACGGGACATCTGGTGACGGATCCACAGGAGGCGGCAGCTCCACAGGAGGTGATGGATCCACAGGAGGAAATAATTCCACAGGAGGTGATGGATCTTCAAGTGGAAACAATACCACAGGAGGTGATGGTTCTACGGCGGGAGACGGTTTCGCGGGGACTGGCGACTCTTCGAAGAACGGCACCGACGGAGCCAGCGGCAACAGATCAGCATCCATAATGTCGGAGATGAAAAATGTCAGCCGAGTCTGGCTCGTGGCCGTTCCGCTCCTGTTGATTCTGCTGTTTCTGGCGTGCTCGTGTAGAGCCGCGAGGAAAAAGAGTGACGAAGAAACGCTGGTGTCCAATTTTGACCAAGCACTTGACGAAGATAACGATGACGAGAGCGACAGTAGCAGCGACAGCGATTCCGACGCGTTCTGTACGGTGCTTTAACCCGCGCACCGACGGGGGTCTGCGCCAACTTAGTACCGACGGGGGGGGGGGGGGGGCGGATGACCGCCCCCCCTGAGATCTCGAGAACGAAGCAAGATAGCGACAAGCGGTAAACGGCATCGGATACGCACGGACAAGGTCTACAATTTTTACTAAGGTCATTTTCAGGTCAGGTCAAAGATGACGTCACAGGGGTCGAAAAAGTCAAAATGGCGGCGCTAGATATGGAGAGGGTTTTTCTCGAATAACTTTCGAAGTAGTCAAGATAGGAACAAACTAAGGGCATCATCGTGATCCTCTCGTCGATCCGCATCGAATGATATATATGTTGACCTCGAAAGGTCAAGGTCAAAGGTTGACCTCAGGTCACGTGACCTCGAGGTCATCATGTATATCATTCGATGCGTCTTGACGAGCTGAACACAATGAGACCATCCGCGCGGCTTTATCTTGTTCCTGTAAGGAGTTATTGGCAAAAAACCTTTGGTGACCTTTGATGACGTCACATGACCTTACAGCTGCCCAACAGCAAAACAGACCTCAAGGTAGTGAAGGTTGATCGTATGTGAAGTCATGTATGGTATATGGGGCCATTCCGACCCGTTTTAGTGGTAAAAACAGGGAGTTGATTTTCCCCCATTGACTTATAATGCGGAGGTCGCGAAATTGACCTGACCTTAGGTCACCGACATCAAAATTCCGAGATATACAAATTGTAGCTACTAATGACCTTATAACATCCTGCGACTTTCAAAGGCCTCCGACATCTACTGTAGCTCTGGCACGGTGACAAAGTTGCAAAAAAGTGACTTGAGGTTGGGTCATTCAAAGTGACCTGGTGACCTGACCTTAAAAGTTAGGAGGTTCAAACTTGCACACCATGTGTAAAATTGATGAGAGAATAGTCATACCAAATTTCGCGGCGCTACGCGCCGCGGTTTTCCCGCTATCCGCGAAAAACCTCAGGGGGGGCGGATATCCGCCCCCCCCGTCGGTGCGCGGGTTAAGTGCGTGTTTGAGTGCTATTCATCTGCCAGTTTGAGCATACTAGAATGCATGCTCAATAGTCAATTGTTCGAAGTTGAGCTGTGGATAAATACGTGTAATAATTATACAGTAAACATTACTTAAAGTCACTCTTGGTGAACCACTTAGTGCCCTCACATGCTGTGGTGAACCGTGCTGAAATGCCCTGCTGCGGGCTTCAGAATGCTGAAATAGTTCCAATACGCAAATGCAAAATAATCCTTTGATTACGAGCGAGCTAGCGCAGCGAGCGAAGCGAAGTCTTTTCAATATAACGGAAAAATCTCAGTATGAGCGGCCCGGCCCGGCCCGGCCTGTAACGTTTTTGAGAGGCTTATATCTCAGCAACCGCTGGACCGATTGGCCTGCGATCTTTTTTGCTGGGTAGCCCCATCCCTTCTACCCCGTAATTGACTACTTTTGATACATCTCAGTGACCGTCGTGGCACGTGCCACGTGAAAAGTCAAGGATGTTCAAGCAGTTTTGCAAAAGTAATGATTTTGAGAGGCCCATATCTCAGCAGCGGCTTGAGCGATTGTCTTGCGGTAATTTTTATAGGGTAGCTGCATCCGTTCTACCAAAGGTCGGATACTCTTGATCTATGTGAGTGACCCCCACTGCACGTGCAAAATACAAAAAGAAGAGGTGCCAAATTTGTTCCCATTTCAGTAACTCGGTAATTACTGGGGCGATTTCGCTGAAACTTGGCATACAGGTAGGCACCCACCAGGCAATGCATTCCCATGTGTTGCGGTTAGGGTGCTACTGCACGTGCGCACGTGCAGGGGGCGTTTCCAGATCTCGAGAATGGCTGGGCCGATTGCGTTTAAATTTGGTACACGGTTGGGGACCGGTTAGTAGGGTGCCGTACAAAAGTCATTTTGGACCCCGTTTGCACGTGCGCACGTGCAGAATGCCGCTTCCAGATCTCAGGAACGGCTGGGCCGATTGCGTTCAAATTTGGCACACCGCTAGCGACCGGTTAGAAGGGTGCTTTGCACAAGCCCGTTGGAAGTACTCTCTCACCCTTCCGCACGTGCAGGGCTCACTATCTCGCTCGCTCGTTCTTCGCCCAAAAGGCGTTTTACTGGTTTTATATAAGCATGAGATGCAAGCGTGCTAACATATCTTGATAACCTCATCCATTATATAAAACGCTAGGGCGGAAGACGCTGAGACGCCTCCTAGTAAGGGCGTCAAAGGAGAGAGCGTAATAGAGAGCCATGCACGTGTGTGAATGACAAGTAACGTGCTGCACCTCCAACGTGCTAATGACTTCAGGGAGAGTTCGTGGAACATGCAGTTCTACATCACCTACCGGAATAACTAGCTTATGATCAGGCATTGATTGAGAACTTATTTCTATGAACTCCTATAAAAATGCGAAAATGGTAACTGTGACGGAGGCGGCGGCAGTGCTGATGGACATCAGCGCCGTCAGTGCTGCTGTCTGTGACGTCACAGCAGTGTGACGTCAGTTCCGTCCGGGCGGGCCGGCACCCCTGCGGCGCTGAGCGGCCCGCGGGCACCGCCGCGCCAGTCGGGTATCAGCGCGGGCGGCGCGGGCCACGCCTGCGGAGCCTATATACAGCGGCTCAACTGAGGGGTGCATCAGACGGTGCACCGATCCGCCAGTGTGCCCCTCGGTCAGTCTGACCTGACTCCTGACCTCCCATACCCAGCGTAGGGGGGAGTGCGCTGGGAGGACTGACCGGTTCCTGGCTCACCGGATAGACAGCTGGGCGAGCCACCAAAAACTAGAATCGTCCCTCGGTGAGCTGTTGGATCGCTCACTGAGGTCGGTCGGATTGATCACTGAGGGTCCTAATCAGTGAAGTTTTACTGAGAGCAGCACCAGCCACGGGAGCCATGGCCCCGACTTTCAGCGCGTTTCTCGTCCTCATGACTCTGCGGTAAGTTTGCAGCTGCTTATGGAACATTGATCTTCGAATATTCATGCTTACACGTCTAAACACACCGAAGCAATCGACATCCTCTTCCATTCCCCAGGTCAATTGGTTCGTGACTTTCAAATTATAACAGACCCTTCCTCGGTCAGGCTTGATGGATCCACCATTACTTTGCGCGTTACTTTTAAGACAATGCTTAATGTACATCCTGCTGCCATATAACTTGCAATGAATAATTTTCATCTGAAACCCTCCTTAGTCCTTTCATTTTCCATCGCAACCACAATAACACGGTCAACATCTCTTCCCGCCCGGCCCGTCCGACCAGAGGCCAGTTTTACCAACAGAAAAATAGCCGCCTGCCGGATTTTTTTTTTCCCCAAGACCGCTTCACATACAGCATAAACGCGATGGGCACGTAAACAGATAGGGCTTTACTGTTTCACTCTGTATGTGAAGCGATCTTAAAGCAAAAAATTCCGGCAGGTGGCTATTTTTCTGTTGGTAAAACTGGCCTCTGCACTGCCCCAATTCATGTCCCGGGCCCACGGCGGCCGCGGGACCAACACTGCACGGTTTGACCTCGCTTCAGTCACGGTTGGCCGCCGCGCCGGCGCCGAGCCGGTCGACCGGGGAGGGCAGGGAGAGGAGGGCAGGGTAGAGGACCCGCCTGTACCGTCCGGGAAGGCCAGCTGGTCACGGTTTGACAATGGCAGCGAGTTATGTGGACTGTTTTTACTGATGATTCGCGAGTGATACTTTTCGGGCCGTCGGACTTCTTTGCAGCTTTCAATCATGGGAGAGTGAGAAATAAATGTGCACTGAGCAGTGAGCAACTAACCACCGAGAAAAGTACCTACATCATAATTGATCAGCCTTGCCATATATAATTTAGCGATTTCAACAACCAGACAACGAATTAATGCGTGCGAAGCAGCCGGCTGCATTCTGTCTAATCGCCTTACACCTTTCACATTGCGAATTCATGCAATGTCATTAGTGTTGGCGCCTTTCGACACTCCTAAGCTGAGTGTTTATGTATGAATCTTTTAGCGTTAGTGGCTACAAGATAAGGATCAGCTAGTCGAGCCTAGGCGAGTGGCGACTTAGTCACTAGAGTACGTCACGTCACTGCAGTATAAAGTTATGAACCATTTATTGCGATGTCCTGCGTAAAATATGGATGAATATACATATTATGAGATGTCTGCTTGTCTCTTACAGGGTGGGGCTGAAAGATTTACCTGTTTGTTTTCAGCCCATAACTCAAAAAGTTTTGGACGGATTTTAGTGAAATTTGGCATGCGGCTTCCCAACTGACTCGTATATAATTGTTATGATCGTTTTTATTTTCGTCATGGTTGTTGATGAGCTATGGCGGAGATTACAAAAAGAGCCCAAATTGCGGCGCCGATGCAGGCTGGCCACAACGTCCGAAGCGCTCCAAAACAGCTCGGTGTTGCCATAAAAACTATTACAATCTAATGAAATGCCTTAAAGGGACAAGTACAGTGTTGACGAAGCCCATCCCAGGCAGAACAAGACATGTCCGCACCAAAGAGCTGGTTGATATCGTGCACAAGATGGTGTCTCGAAATCCTTGGCGAAACATGCGCAAACTGGCAAAGGACCTCGATTTTTCGCCCAAAACGATCAGGAGAATCATAAACGACGATTTGGGCCTTGAGTCATACACGATGCAACGTTGACACCTAATTTCGGCGGCATCCAAGGAGAAGCGGCTTCACATGGCCCAAAAGATATTGGAGGAAATCAGAAGCGCCGATAGCAAGGTCTTCCTCTGATCTGATAAAAAATTACACGGTTGAGCCCCAGATGAGCTCTCAAGGTGACGTAATCTTGGCAGATGGTACATCCAGCATTGATCCTGCTATCCAGGCCAGTTTTGTTCGCCACAACTCTGCAGGTGTCATGGTTTGAGCTGCCGTCGCATCCGACGGCTCAAAAGGGCCCTTGATCTTCATCGAGGCGGGTGTGAAAGTCAGTTCACACGTTTATGTCCATCTGCTGGAGGAACATGCTCTGCCTCGGATCACTCAGTCGTTCCGAGACGGATACGTCGTCGTCCAGGACGTTGCGTCGTCTCAGACGGCCGCCTTCACTCAACAGTGGTGCAAGACCCACATGCCTGAATTCTGGGACAAGGACATGTGGCCACCATCAAGTCCAGATCTGAACCCGATGGACTTCACCACCTGGGCCATCCTGGAGAGGGAGATGTGTGCAACACCACACAGCAGCATGGCCGCTCTGAAGCTGGCCCTCGAGACGGCATGGTCGAATTTCGACGAGGACACCGTGCGGCGCTCGCGCCTCTCCGCAGGGAGAGGTTTCGGGGCAGGGGTGAAGACCAAAGGTGGTCAAATTGGTTCATAGTGCCGTTGCTGAGATGTGTACATGCTACTGAATACGTGTACCAAAAATCATTTGAATATCTTCGTTCTGGACCGAAATATTTTCAAAAATCAAGAGGTAAATCTTTCTGCCCCACCCTGTATACCTATAAAATGTTTCTGCTACCTGTCGCAGCTTTTTGCGGCATTGCAGAAAAAGTGAAAACGATTTAAAATCCAGATCTTTCCCAAGAGGTTCTCAGTCTGAACTCTGAAGACTGATCTAAAAAATAGTTGTGTCTTCCTCGGTTCAGACAACACCCACTGGTCGACCCCTGTTGGTCACCCCAGCTGACCTCCTGTTCTTCCGTCAGCTGCGTGTCGCCGCTCGGCGTCAGCTCCCAGCACGACCTGGACACAGAGCTACAGCACGTGTTCACCGACCTCACCGACCCCTCTGTCTACGACAAGAACGTGCGCCCGTTCCCGGCCGGCGACGGTCCCGTCAGCGTGTACACCAGAGCCTTCGTCTACTACATCGGAGACATCGACGCCCAAAACTCGGTGGGTAACTGGCGATATCGACACCCAGAACTCGGTGGGTAACTGGCGATATCGACGCCCAAAACTCGGTGGGTAACTGGCGATGTCGACGCCCAGAACTCGGTGGGTAACTTACAGCGGACAGTGCGGGCGAGGTGTCCAGTCTGTGTATGTCTTATTTTTGAACTAAACAAATAATAGCGCAATTTGTTTTTGTGGTGTCCGAAGGCGTAGATAATTTTTCCTTATCGGTGACATTCATAGGTTGCTGGAGATGATAATCGTGTTGCTGGTTATGACTATAATGATGCTGATGCTGATGATGGCTGTGTTGTGTTTGTCCACAGGAGTTTTTCGTCCAGCTGCTGCTCCGCCAGAGGTGGAACGATCCTCGACTCAAGTACAACGTGTCCTCGAAATGCATACAGGGAGAGGATTGGCACAAGGTGGGTCAACGATGGATCATACCTTCATAGCTACATACCTCAGCACAGGCAAGAACTGCATGCCTTTTGCATAGGATGTTTGACAAAGAGCATATACATCAAATAAACATCATCACGCCCGTGCTGAGCACCACGCCCCTCAGTGCCTGGTCCATTCGGGACATGTTTTTGTCGGCAAACCTCCATTGTGCGGTGCTTAAAGTCGGAATGATTAGGACAACAGTCCGGCACTGCTGGTCACGATCGTGTACCGGCCTTTGTTCACTGGCTACAAGGTTTGGTGGAGAACCAGGCTGCAACACCCGCGGAGGCCACACGCCTCGACCTTCAGAAAGACCGAGCTGCAGCGCGGTGATGATTAATATAGTTAATACCCAAGGGATGGTTCATTATGAACCTTATGCGACTGTTAATTAGGTGCGTGAAGTAAACCATTATCAATACACTGGTTTATGATAATAGATGTCATATGCTCACTCATGCACTTATGCTGTAATGCATAAACTATTCAACGAGCTCGTATAGTTGATTACATGAAAATGAAATTAATGATGTGAAGGTAGGATGGTATTATAGTTACTTATGTGAATTAACAGATTAACCAAAACTTTTATTGACGCTAGGAACAGTGCATGCGATCGTCATAGCACTATCACTATCACTATTGCTGACATATTCCGACATCGACAGGCTGCAGTTATACAAGCGTTATAGGTATCTTAACGACTGCAATTAAATGAAGTCCATAGTCTGAAAGTAGGTATAGCAAAGTAACTTCCCAAATGAATTCTAAAGCAGAACCATGCAGACTGCAGAGGAGAAAAGTTACAAATTTGAATGAAATGTGTATTGAACATTTACACAACTTGAACACAATGATGAAATGGTAAAATGTCTATAGAGAAGACGGCAAAAATGACATAAAACTTATATTTAAAAGAACCAAACGTTGACACCGTCCCGTTTAGTGATGCTGCCCAAAACATAATTAAACTAAACTGCATCTTGATTAAAGTTGCTCACTATCTTAATGCAAAATCGCCGTAATACAACCCTCGTATAGCCCATCCCAAGAATTTCACGTCGGAAGAAAATAGTTTCAATTCAAGTTTTTTTTACATACACTTGATGTGTGAAAGCTTGCATGTAGACGTGCTTTACTCAATATCTGGCTGACTTGTCACATCATCGCACCCATCATTGAACATCGACGGACAAAACTCCACTTCGTCGATACCATGAATGTGTATGTGAGACGGCCCCACCAGCCCCCGGCGCTATGGCGGCCCGACATCTGGGCCTCGTTTCATAAAGCGAGTCCGTAACTGACGCCGGTTTTTGGTCTTGTATTGCAAATGCATGTGAAGCGATAACGGTAGTTTGAATGGTTGAATTTATGTATTTTGCAAGCAAGAACAGAAGGGAGAAGGGGAAATAAGTTTATCGCTTCCCTTGCGCTTGCAATATAAGCCCAAAAACCGGCGTAAGTTACGGACTCGCTTTATGAAACGAGGCCCAGGTCCAACTCTCACGAACTCCCACTGAGCGGCCTGCATCGTGTTCACGTGCACGGCCTGCTATTCACGCTGTGCAGTGCACACTCGCTCTGCCCGGGCTCGCGTCACCTGCCAGACACGAGGCTGTTTAGTGGGGAGGAAGTGCGTGTGCACCGTATCTTCACTGTGCACTGCAGACAGAGGTAATATGAGGTCCTAACCGTATACGATAGAAAGAGGCTTGGATAGAGAGGCCAGATTTCGCTGTAAACTTTTTGACGACCTAATAAAAGGGAGGAGCAGAAGAAGATGAAGAGTAAGATGGAGAGAGAGAGAGAGAGAGAGAGAGAGAGAGAGAGAGAGAGAGAGAGAGAGAGAGAGAGAGAGAGAGAGAGAGAGAGAGAGAGAGAGAGAGAGAGAGAGACAGAGACAGAGACAGAGACAGAGACAGAGACAGAGACAGAGACAGAGACAGAGACAGAGACAGAGACAGAGACAGAGACCAGAGACAGAGACAGAGAGAGAGAGAGAGGGGGAGGAATATTATTTAAAAGTTCACTTAATAACGTCATCCAATTCGGTTTCACTATTCCAACTTCTAAGACATTAATCGGTGTATGAAGTAACTACAGAGCATATGTTCTCGCCAGTAACTCCGATGCATGCCGTGTCGCGCAGAACCGTATGTGGATCCCGACCATCTACCTGGTGAACCAGAAGGACGCAAAGATCATCGACGTCAGCAACCGGAACGTGTTTGTGAACGTGTGTCCGCAGGGCGACGTCTACTACAGCTTCAGGTGGGTTATACCGCGGCACCGCCGCAGTGTGACTGAACGTACAGTTCGACATCTTGCTGCCGCGGAGCGATTCAAGACACTAGACACAGGTGTCATTTATTACATTTCACATATATTCCGTACCTAAGCATGCTTATTCGGTTCATGTGTAGTTTGTTTTATGCATGTTCACATTGTTCACTTATGCAAATACGTTTAAACCTTCGGTTTGATCCCTGTTGCATGTACTTTTTACCTTTTAAACAAACGATACATTTGTTTCAATATTACTTACAATACTAGTTAGTGCTACAAGTTTTATTTGACCCTTTTCTGCCTTTTTTTTTGTTGATTTCCCATGGGATTTTTGTTTTGTTGTTTTACAGAGTCAAGTCGTCTCTAGTGTGCGGCATGCATTTGAGGAAGTTCCCATTCGACAATCAGACTTGCTCCGTGCTGCTTGAAAGTTGTACGTCCGTCGTCTTCGTAATTTAACCCGCGCCCTGCTGGGGGGGGGGGTGTTTGAACACCCCCCCTTGTGGTTTTTCGCGAATATCTCAAAAACGGCGGCGCGGAGCGCCGCCGTTTTTGGTACACCTTATCATACATCAATTCTACACATGTTGTGAAAATTTCAGACCAAGGTCATTCAAGGTCAGGTCACCAGGTCACTTGAAGTGACCTCACCTCATAAAAAGTTTCAATGTCTGTCATAGCTACACCGAGGGACCGATCGCTTTTAAACTTTCAGCGATTGCTAAGAGCAATAGTATGTACAAAATGTATATCTCAGAATTTTGATATCGATGACCTAAGGTCAGGTCAATTTTGCGACCTCCCCATTATAAGTCAATGGGAGAAAATTGAAATGCGCCTCTTTTGGATGAAAGACATTATAAACACTCCCAAACACCGAATTACAAGTGGTTTAGACACACTGAACATGAAAATGGTGTCCGTGACCCTTGTTTATGCCCTGAGGTCATCTTAGGTCACGAATGGTATCTAACAGTTTTTCGCAAATAACTTTTGATAGAGGCATGCTAGAGCGATGAAAATGCCTTATATGTGTTTAGCTCGACGATACGAATCGACTGATATGCAACATGACCCTTTCCGGTCAGGTCATGACCTTGACCTGAGGTCAAATTTTCAAGTTGACCTTTCAAGGTCAAGTTATAGTTCATTCGATGCGTCTTGACGAGAGGAACACGATGCCGGTAACAGTAAGCTCGTACAGGGCTTGGGTCAAAAGTTATTGCAGAAAAACTGTTTCCAAAAAATCGGCTATTTTTGCAGTTTTTGCCCCCTGCAGGCAAAACCGTTGACGTTAGGTCAAATCTGAGAGAATTACTCAGAAAGGGCGTTAATAGGGCTATCGAATGCGCTTTTCTGCGGCGCTGTAGCTCTATTGGTTCCCGAGTTATGCGTTGGCTTCTTGGAAATTTTCGCCATTCGACCTGGAAATCGGCGAAATTTTGCCTTCATTGACCTCTGGTGACCTGACCTTTGACCTGACCAAAAAATTGACCAAAGTGATTTCGTCATTATTTTTGACGCTCTTTCGAACGCCGCCTTCCGCGTATCGCTACGTGGCCCAGGAGCCGAGTTACAAGGGGGGGGGGTGTTCAAACACCCCCCCCCCCCCAGCAGGGCGTGGAAATCCAGGACCCCCAGCCGGGCGCGGGTTAATAAAGCTAGGGTTTCTACTGTTAAGAATATTTTGGGCATACTAATGACACTTTAACTTAATTCTCTTTGCAATTTGATTATTTGCTAGGGTTTCTATTGTTTAAAATATTTTGGATATACTAATGACACTTAACTTAAGTTCTCTTTGCAATTTGATTATTTTACTTCCATCTATTATTTCAATAGGTTTAATCAAATTGCATGCTTAATAATATCATTCAGAGCGACTGATCACATACTGTTATCATGTCTTATATGGTTATATCGATACCGAGAGGGGAGATATTTTCTAAACTCAAAAGCGAATGCGTGGATAGTGATACTGCAATGAGATATCGCACTGTTGAATTATCCTGTAAGCTCATCCCGGCCCGGCCGGGCGCTGCGGCAGGGCAGCACTCGACGTCGGAGATGGTGATGACGTGGGAGGAGAAGCTGCCCTTCTCCACGGACGACATCAGCCTGGCCGAGTACTCGCTGACCGATATCCGCGTCACAAACGCCACCTTCCACTTCCCGCAGACGACCATCTTCAGTGACCTCCAGTGGCGCGTCGGCAGGGCAGGTCAGTAGACAACGCAGCGTCGCAGGGCAGGGCAGTAGACAACGCGTCTCCAGTGGCGCGTCGGCAGGGCAGGTCAGTAGACAACGCAACGCTTAGCGGTGTGGCTGAGTGGGGTCAGACTGCTCCAGTGGCGCGTCGGCAGGGCAGGTCAGTGGACAACGCAACGCTTAGCGGTGTGGCTGAGTGGGATCAGGGCGACCTCCAGTGGCGCGTCGGCAGGGCAGGTCAGTGGACAAAGCGTCTCCAGTGGCGCGTCGGCAGGGCAGGTCAGTAGACAACGCGTCTCCAGTGGCGCGTCGGCAGGGCAGGTCAGTAGACAACGCAACGCTTAGCGGTGTGGCTGAGTGTGCCTTGCCGACCTCCAGTGGCCCGTCGGCAGGGCAGGACAACGCAACGCTTAGCGGTGTGGCTGAGTGGGGTCAGAGCGACCTCCAGTGGCGGCAGTGGCGCGTCGGCAGGGCAGGTCAGTGGACAACGCAACGCTTAGCGGTATGGCTGAGTGGGGTCAGACTGCTCCAGTGGCGCGTCGGCAGGGCAGGTCAGTAGACAACGCAACGCTTAGCGGTGATGCTGAATGGGATCAGGCGGAAATAATGGATATCTTTTCCAGCATTATCAAAGTTCATTTTTTGGTTAAATGTAGTTGTGACTGATGCTTCTTGATAATGGATTTAGTTGGAAAATACATGCTTTATTTCAGCATATTGAATTTACACCTTCACCGCATGGGTTTAACAGTTATGCATCGTAGAGAGAAAATCAACACGCATCGTAAACAATAAATGCTCCGACGATCATTACTGACACCATCACACTGCCCCTGCGTCCTCGAACACAGCTTACAGCTTAGCTGAGCCATATGTCTACAAAACATGCAAGCTGACTCGTAGTTGACATGCTGAGTCGGGGTATAAGTAGCAATTGAAATGCATGATGTATAGGCAACAGACACCCTTCGATTTACTCATTTGTCTGAGCCGCCCGCGCCCTGCGGTACATTTTTCAGTGGTAGACTGTGCCGCAATACATCCTTCAACACGATAGGCTGTACCGCAAGACACAAGAGATATTTCGGTAATTCAAACACTTCCCACAGACTCCCCGTCAAGCCAGAACCCCAACCTACTATCTTCAACGTTTACTTTTCAGTATTTGGGACCAATGACGCTTATCGCGAAATGCTTTTGCAAAATGCTTACCGCGAAATGCTACCGTTCGACTCATGTTCGGTATTTATTTCAGAGGCCTACTACAGTCGTCTGGTGCTGGACTTTTTCATGTCGCGGGAGCCGGGCTACTATCTGCTGGACTACTACATCCCCAGTGGGTTCCTGGTCATCGTCTCCTGGGTGTCGTTCTGGCTCAGCCCGGAGGCCGCCCCGGCCCGCGTCACGCTAGGTCAGTCACAGTCTGTTCTACTTCGGTCGTCGCCTCGACCAGGCCGGTCATGACAAATTGAACATGGGCGTAGGAACCTCACGAAAAGTGTGGGGGGGGGGAGGGGCCAGCGAAACTTCAATGCCATTTTGTAGGAGCCCCAATACCCCTCTCAAGACATTCTCTGCAGTTTTGTGCTCTTCTCACTTTGCTGAACCATTTCCTGCTCTTAGTTTTGTATCTAAATAAAAAATAAGAATTTTCCTTTAAAAAATGGCTGAAAAGTGGGGGGGCATGGCCCCCTCCCGGATCCCGCTGTTCCTACGCCTATGCTCGTGAGTAACCGTCGCGCATTCCTGACTTGGTCCTTCAACAGCGCGCGCGCGCCGCCGACCTCAGTCACTGGCGGTAATCACGGCGCCGACTAATGCCCCAATAATGGCTGCCGATCGATCGTGCCGTGTTCTCACGGTCCATCGGGCCCGCACCTGTTCCACTCGACGCTGTGTGTTTGCCGCCGGCGTGCTTTCACGCCTTGGCTGACAGATTTACAGCCAGAACACAAATCCACCGTAATTTAATTTGAGGTTACGGGAAAATAACAAGGCAATGATGGCTCTGTCTTCGAGTCGCGTACCTCCCGCTGCGGGGCCATAGCGGATGGAAATGTGACAAAACTGTCAAAAAACGACGTCGTATAATTGAGAAATATGACGTCCGATGACCTGGCATTCCAGGGACGAGCACAATGCTGACGTTCATCACGCTATCTAACACTATCAAGAACTCGCTGCCCAAGGTGTCCTACACCAAGTTCGTGGACGTGTGGCTGTTTATCTGCACGACTTTCATCTTCCTCTCGCTGGTCGAGTTCGCCTTCGTCAACACCATCCACCGGCGCAGGTGATAAAGGGGAGGAAATGGGATCAATCAGATGCAGCCAAAGACAATTATGGTACCGCCGAAGCTGATGAGATGAGACACCGCAGATTTCTCAGCTGCTGCTGGCGTTCGATCGTCATTAGATCGTTCCTAAATAATGCGCTTTTAGTTGCTGAATATCTTTTTTTTTGTGTTTCTGCCGTTTCTCGTAAGTCTAGCAAAATCAGGAGACAAATTATGTATTTATCGCCATTTATCCATTACAGGAAGAACGTCACACTAAAGAAGGTCACCACAAAGCACGTGCTGAAGTCCACGCTGGCCAAAAGTGCGTCCAGGGACAACTTGACGGGCATCCGTCACGGCGGCGCGGTCAACTACGGCCTGTCGCAGTCGTGCAGCATGCTGGACAAGCTGGGCCACTCGAGCACCAGCCAGAGCGGCGCGCTGCTGGTGCCGCCGTCCCCCAGCTCCCCGCCCCGGCCCACCGTCTTCTTCGTGGAGGAGCCACCGGAGGCGGACGCCGGTGTTGGTCAGGTCAGTGTTGGTAATTTGGTTTGTGTTTTTATGCATGTTACGTCATTTGTGTTACGTATATTAGGTGTTATCTATCGGTTATCTTTATATGTGTCTTTGTGTTTTGGCTCTATCTGAGCTGACATTTGCAAAATTATGGTAAGATTTGAGCTTACGTCGTGTGTGACAACTCGCCAATGATACGCCCACGCTCAATGATGGTTTCCTCCAGGACTCGAACGGACTCAGGAAGCGTGACGTGCTCCAGCTCAGTGACGGCTCTGCAGAGTCATCGGTGAGTCTGAGGTCGCGCAGCTGGAGCGCACGATGGCCAACCAAATAAACACTTTTTCCCTAACAAATTGAGGGATAGATATTCGTCTCGTCTTCATTTACAATGTAAAGACTTTGAGTGAAGGAACAAGGAACAATGTCAGACTGCATGTCGGGAACCAGTGGCCAAATTGCAATATCTTTTCAGCGCCCAGTGAAAGTTCATCCTGACTGTGCCACACCAGGTCCTTTATTGAGTACATATGCATGGACCTCTCAACTGCGCGTTATTTGGTGCAGCTATAACCGTCAAAACTGCATCAAGCCATGGATCTCTTCATCCCTTTTCCTTCTATCTTTCATATCATGTGATAAACCTAGCGTCAACCCAAAGGCATCACACCATGCTTCCTCTGACTCCCATGACCCCTCCAACCCCTCCGTCCCACCAGGAGCAGCCGGACCCGGCGGCCGCGCAGCCCGAGGGACGGCGTCGGTCGTCGATGCGCCGGCCGTCCGTGTTCCCGCGGCCCTTCGTCGAAATGACGCCGCCGCAGATCGCCAAATGGATCGACATCCGCAGCCGCTGGCTGTTCCCCCTCTGCTTCTTGGCGGTCAACATCGTCTACTGGATCTCCATCGTCATCTGAGCAGCCGGGATTCGAGGCGAAGGAGGAGACCGAGCCAGAGGAGCAAGGGAATCAGAGGAGCAGCTTGTCAGGAAAGAATTGGTGCCGAATGCGAAGTGAGGTGGCTATGTGTGCTACGTAATGTAACAATAATGGCCTGATGGTACTTTTGACGATTTTATATAGAGGCAGAAGAATGATTTTGCTGCATACCCAAGTTTTGCATGTCTAAAAGAATGGGCATTACGTAATTACTGTGTTGTGCATTTGAGTGCATCATCATTGTGAGTATAATCAAGATGTCCCGATTAGGTGCTTTCAACATGGGCTAATAAAACAGCCTGCAGATTGCGGAGAGAGTGAATGGTTTTACGAATAAGAAATGTACATAGGTGGCCTTGTGATTGTTCCTACCACTGCAGAGAGCCCGCACGCAGTATGATTGCCATTTGTCTGATGTAATCTATTTTATCTTAGCATACTTGTTATGTATACCGTTTTAGATGATAAGTCAATGAATGATGTGTTTGATTGAAGATTAGCATGCTCCATTACCCTCCAATAGACTTTCCAACCTTCGACAGCGATTGAGGTAAAGCTTCTGGTTCTGAACGCTTGCCAGTCTCTCAGAAATTCCCGTCCTCTCAGCTGGGACGTCAGCCGATAGCCGAGTTCCCCGGACACGCGATCACTCCCGTCTGCCAGCCAGTGATCGGCCGTGACGAATCTGTTTACCGGATTCGCCCGTTCTTCTGTTCGCCGACAATTGCCGTGCTTTACGAGCGCTGCCGATACGGCGCATGAGCCTCCCTTTGTGGGTGGGAGCCGGCCAGCGCCGATAGATGCTGCCACCGCTGGCGGACACAATAAACCGCGGTGGGTGCGGTCATAAACTGACTTATGGCGCTGCGTCGGCCGGTGAAGTGACGAAAGGTAGTTCGTCAAACCGCTGGCAAACATACTGCGACGGACACTGTCCTGACGCGGCCGCGCGGACCCACGCAGAGCGAGTGTGACTCGCATGGTAGACAGCTAAAGCGGACATGTGTAGATATGACGATTTTAGACAAAGAGGGGAGAGGGAAGGTATTGAAATTAAAAATGAGACATGTAGTGAGCTGACTGCTGAGCACAATGGTACGGTGTCACGGTACCTACTACACAACTGATGCCTCGAAATAGGCAAAATTGGACAGTCACTGCACTTACAAACGCCCAAAACGGGTAAACGATGTATGCTGTCGCACCCCATGACAATCAGAAACGATAGAACGGTATAAAAGTTCAGCTCTGCAAAACGCCGGGGTCGACAAACAAAAGACAGCACGAGCAATTAGGCCTCAGGTCCCCTAACTCTCCGTGAGCCAGCCCCGCTCACCCGCGTGGTGCCTGGTTTGGCCCCTGGCGTAGGCTGCCCCGTTCACTGGGTGACGGCCCCTGGGTCGTCCCTTGGCAGCGGCACCCCCGCTCACCAGCATTTGTGCCTCACTCTTCCCCTGGCGCCAGCTGCCCGAACATCAGCATTAATGCCTAGCTCGGGCCCTGGCGCTGGCTGCCCGTTCACCACCGTTACACCTGGTGCGGCGCCCGCGGCGGCGGCTGACTCGTACATCCGGCTCTGCTCTATGAGCCGGACGTGACCGTGGCAACGCGCCGCGGTGCCGGCTCGTGTGTGAAAGGCGCGCTGCTCGCAATGGGGGATAAAGGTCGGCAGGCACCCGACAGGGAGAGTGCGCGCCTGTGGGGGGCACGGATCGGGAGTCGGAACAGCATGACCACGCTCGCAGTGTCCAACAAATGTTCGTTAACGGGCTAGCGCCGGACAGCGGCGAGACGGTCCTCCGAATAGCCGCGCCGCCGCCCGGGGCGGCCCCGCCGGCGGCGCGGCCCTCTCGGACGGGACGGGAGGGGACGGGAGACGCTTCCCCAGTGCGTGGGCGCTCGGCGCGCGCGGCGGAGGCGCGCTCCGGCGCGCCGAAAGGAGCGTCCGTCGGGTTCGATTTTTTGTAGTGTCTGCCTCCGTGGGATAAGCACGCCGCTACGTTCCTGCGATCTACATCGGCACCGGTGACGTACCCTCTGGCCATGTATATGGCGGCACCCTGCAGTGTCATAAGTGTTTGTCTCCGTCTCTCTGGCCTCTGTAGCCGCCTCGCCCATGGGGTACACTGCCGGAGGCCGAGACGTGACGTGCTCCTAAGCTGTGCAGGTCAGTTATCCCCGGTAAATACCTCTCAGATGGGCGTCGTGCGTGGCGAGAGCTCGCCGTCTCCATGGGCGTGTGTCTCGCGCTTGACGTCGCGCAGAAGAGTCTACCAGCGAGAGGAGATTGGAGAGCGAAGTGCCGCGTTAAGCAGTTCCCTTCTGTGCAGTATCTGCCTGTGCAACGATGGAGCACGCCGCCTTAGGATACGCCATCACCGGTAAGATATCACCGGCGCACGCGACTACCTGTCCGTCGTTTAGGCCACCATCGCGGCCCAGGCGGCCCCTCTGAGCGCTGATCGCTCCATGCGCCGACAGCCCATGCTTATTCGGGTAGCCGCTGATCGGCCCCTCTGCGCGCTGATCGCTCCACGCACTGAACGGCCCCTCTGAGCGCTGATCGCTCCACGCACTGACTGGCCCCTCTGAGCGCTGATCGCTCCACGCACTGACCGGCCCCTCTGAGCGCTGATCGCTCCACGCACTGACTGGCCCCTCTGAGCGCTGATCGCTCCACGCACTGACCGGCCCCTCTGAGCGCTGATCGCTCCACGCACTGACCGGCCCCTCTGAGCGCTGATCGCTCCACGCACTGACCGGCCCCTGAGCGCTGATCGCTCCACGCACTGACCGGCCCCTCTGAGCGCTGGTCGCTCCATGCACTGATCACCGGCCCCTCTGAGCGCTGATCGCTCCACACGCTGCCAGCCCGTACTTATTCGAGTAGCCGCTGACTGGCCCCTCTGAGCGCTGATCGCTCCACGCACTGACCGGCCCCTCTGAGCGCTGATCGCTCCACGCACTGACCGGCCCCTCTGGGCGCTGATCGCTCCACGCACTGACCGGCCCCTCTGAGCGCTGATCGCTCCACGCACTGACCGGCCCCTCCCTCTGAGCGCTGATCGCTCCAAGCACTGACCGCCCCTCTGAGCGCTGATCGCTCCACGCACTGACAGGCCCCTCTGAGCGCTGATCGCTCCACGCACTGACCGGCCCCGCTGAGCGCTGATCGCTCCACGCACTGACCGGCCCCTCTGAGCGCTGATTGCTCCACGCACGACTGCTCCCCGCCTAATTGGTCTGCACGCTCACAGACAGCCGCTGAACGGCCCGCCGGAGCGCTGACGGCTCCCCGCCTAATGGTCTGCACGCTCACACCGACGCGCGCGCAAGCATGAATCGCTGACTGGCCCTATATAGCGCAACTGGCAGCCCGTCTGCACGAATGGAACTCTGACCCGTCCCATAGCATTGTCGGCTCACATACACTGGTAAACAGCGGTACGCACGAATGGATCGAACGCACGCTGACCACCGCATGCGACCACGTACGGCCCGTACGCATCAGGTGACCGCGCGTACGCTAACCACGTGGCCTGGCCCAGCAGTCCTGACGTCACACCGCCCGCAAGAACGGGGTCACGGGGTCGAACGGCGGTGGGCGAACGTGTGGTGCGGTTGACACCTGACCGTCCATTGTTTACTTTTCCCGCCCGACTGGTGTTTGACCGTGGGTTGTTTTCGCGCTCTCCGCACCGGTCACCCTAGCGTTATCGTACCCATAATACCGCTGGTGACGTTCCCGGCGAGGCCGCCATGTCGCCAACGCCCCCCCCCCCGATACTGGCGTCTCAGTGGACCTAAGCGCCTTCATCCCACTCACAGGACTGCAAACAACGCCCCTAACTGACGGCCTGTTATCCTGGCCTACAGGACTCCGACCGCTCACCCCAACGGACAACACCGCAGCGCGGGGCGCGATCGGTGGCCCCTGGGCAGACGTGACAGGCCCGTGACCCCCTACAGCAATGCCCGCCCACCAGACGACCACCGGAGCTGACGCGCCGGCGGGCCCCCAGCCGGCCCCGGTACATACCAGCAACAACACGGGCCCACGGAGCCGGAGACCCACCGGCTTGCCCTGTGCCGACCGGCGACGGCCGGCGCCGCGGCCCCGCCCTCATGGGGAGGCGCGGCACACACCCCCGCCTACCCGGCGCTTGGAGGCGCGCCCAACTGGCCGGCGGCCGGAGGCGCGTCCAACTGGCCGGCGCCCGGGGGCGCGCCCAACTGGCCGGCGCCCGGGGGCGCGCCCAACTGGCCGGCGCCCGGGAATGAACAGTTCGCCGGCGTCGGCCCCACACCCACGCAGTGGCGGATCCAGGGGGGGGGGGGGGCAAAATGGGCATTTGCCCCCCCCCCAAACGGCATGATTTTAACATTACGCCTATGGACGATGCATGGAAAGAATCGATAAATTTCTATGGTTTGCCCCCCCCAAAACTCTGAGCTGGATCCGCCTCTGCACCCACGGCCCAGGCCTACAACCGCCCGACCCCCGCGACCCAGCCGAGCGGCGCAGCCAGCACCGGGCACGGGCTGCCCCCACAAATGATCCAGCCCTATGACGAGTACCGACGCTCAGCCGGCGAGACTAGTGAGAGCGTAGCCGCGGCAGAACTAAAGGCACGCGAGCGAGGGGTGGCGGCGGACCGCGCACAAGACCACCAGCAGCTACCGGTAGTGTCCTATGCGCAGCCGCCGCACACTGGTCGGAAACGCCCTCACGAGAGGCCACGGGCGATTCCGGAGTTTCGGATTATTTTTTAAATAGATCGATTTGAAATTGATCAAATTATTATACTTAGGCCAAAAAAACTAATCCGGGTGACCAAAAATAACTGTAATCAGCCCCCGAAGATGGGGTATCCCAGAACTCGGAAACTGAGGCGGAGCAAGAGGTTTCTTGAGCCGGATATTCAGAGTCTTATTGCTGATGGACACCAAATTGAAATCCCACATATTATGCATCAAAATGTTCGTTATGAAGTTGCCGACTGGTCAGTGCAAAATTTTTGGTATACTTTTTCCCTAACTAAGATGTACTTTAGCTTTTTTTATGAAGGCTCTCCTACAGTGATTCTGGAATATAACTGCAAAGTTTAGGTAAGGAAACAACAGGTAGTCCCATCTAGTTCCACTCTGATTTTTTGTGAGATGAAGTAGGATTTAAATTTACACCAGGGCAACATAAAAGCTAACTGCGCATATTTGCGCAAAATTTGCAGGAGCCGCTCTTCCTACCCAACTACCGCCCGCCCCGCCCCAGTTTCGGCTCGGCCGCCGCGCCCGGCTTACGCTGACCTGTGTGGCCTGCACGCATCCATGCGTAGTTGACTGGTCATTAAAAACAGATGCGCTTGAGTTTATGAATTTTGTGAAAAGCGCGTTTTATGTATGCATTTATATTTTATGTATGTATTGACATCAAAAGCCTTCCACATATTGCGTGGCGATTACGGCTTGCATTTAGAGAGCCTTGCTATTGACAACCATCACTCGGCTGAAGAAAGTGGAAATTGAAACATTCGTGAATATAAGACGCTGCAACTATAGGACACCTGTCACTGACGTCGGGTTACCTTGGGCCGTCTTTTTACATTAGATAACAATTCCGGTATTTAACCCTGGCCGGACCGACTGGTTTTCTATATTGACCGGGGAGGGTTGGTACAACTCCCTCGCCGTTTCGCCTCTAATTGAGCTAGAGCCTCGCGGAAAAAACAAGCTTGTGTGCCGTTATAAGACGCAAAAATTAGGTACTACCCGATTTTAAGGTCTTTGGTCAACCAGTGACCTCTTAGGTCAGGTAAGTGCCACAAGGCACGTGCTCGGTTTTAGGTTAATTACTTTGCCAAAAATGGTCGCACTGCCGCGATTGTGGCATCATCGTGTTTGTCTAGCTCAGGCGCGTTGAATGCTATACTTGGTGATCGGGTGAAGTCAACTTAAGGTGTTAACCTCGGGTCAAGGTCAGGTCGGAGCCCCTCAGGTCACGAAAATGGTTGAAGGAGGTCATATTGCATATCATTCGATTCGGTAGGTCTTCCTGAGTCCAATGGTGGCTTTCCCGACTCTCTAGCTCCATCTGATCAGGAGTTATTGACGAAAAACTTATATGGCCTTAGTGACGTCATAAATGACGTCACGCAAAGTCAACAATGCTAAAGTCAAGCACTGGACCTTGCAAGGAGTGCATGAAACCATTCCCGGTGCCCGAATAGCAGCTCCCAATTTCCCTTGTTGACTTAAAGTGGTGCTAGATCCTGTATTATACTCAATTATGACGTCATAACTTAACAGATTCACGTCATATATTTAGTGCTTGACATCCAAATGATAGCTTACATATGACAGAGAAGGTATGCAAAGTTTTATGAAGTTTGCTTCACTAGTTGTGGAATAACAAGCAAAAAACTTTTGCGGAAAGGCCGCTGGCCTCTCGCTGGAGCGTTTCCGACCAGTGTGCGCCGGTACCCGCCCTCCAGCTAGCCGGGGTCAGCACCAAGGCCGCCCAGGACCTCCGCCACCGAGGCCGCTACGTCGCGGTCGACGACTCGGGGGATGAAGTAGGGGGCCCGCTGACGACCACCGCCCACTATTTGGCCCGGGTAGCCGAACTGCTGGCTCACAGAGCCTACCATTTCCCGGCGGCGGGGCTCCAGCTGACAAGTTACATGGCGTGGCTGCTGCGTACTTACGCCAACCGGCCCCTCGCCGAACTCGGGCCGCCGACGCCAAAGCACGAGAGGCCATGGCGGCAAATCCGGGTATTCCGCACACAGCTCTCGACTGGGACGTGCTGTGCCGGCCTGGCATAACACCAATTAGCCACAGTGTGGAGACCAGGAAGCCGCAGCGGGTAATTATCTGCCAGACTTCCTGGCCGGTCGCTACTTTCATGCCAATTCATTAACTTTTTTGAAGGTGGGAGGGTCCCCCTTTAACATCGCGTCTTACGAGTGCAGGACCGCTCGTGAACTGAACATCACAGCCGCTCGGTATGGCCCATACAAAGCCATCGCAATTTGACGTGGCTCTGCCGGCACGGGGCCGCTGACCGGTGCTCGCGCTGACGTCACACCGCGTCACCAACTTCACTGGCAAGCCCACTCATGCCTTAGTTCTGACGTTGTCACACCACCGCCAATTGACCCGTTCCAACGCACACCCCCGCCGGCCGGGAGCACGCTGACGTTCCATCGTGGCTGCCGACCCAGGTGTAAATGCATCCCGCTGGCAGGTAATTGCGTTAAAGACCCACTCCGCGTGTGTCCATTGTAAGACGACACCCACCCGCGCTCTCCGGCTCCGACAGCGGACAGCGCAGTTCCCCTCCCCTCCCCCATTGCCGACCTCACGTTATCGGGACCAACAGCAAACACGCGCACCCCCACCCGCGCACCACCAGCTGATAGTGCTCATGGCACGGGGAGACGAGCCCGGCTCTGGCAGCCGCCGAAAGGGGCCCTGACATGATGTCGGTTCAGGTTGACCCGGGATCTGACGTAACCACACCGCTGACCGGTGCTCGCGCTGATGTCACATTGCGTCTGGCGAGCGCAGGGACGGCTCGTGATTTGATATCATACCACAGCCGCTCGGTATGACCCTGATATGGCGCCGACGCCAACTGATTCGGACTCTGACATTACAATACCGCCGACCGGTGCTCCCACTGACGTTATATTGCGTCTAACGACCACAGAATGATCTGTAACCCGATTCATAGCACAGACGCTCGGTATGGCCCCTGATTGGTATGATGACCGTATGTATGGCTTGGTATGACGAGCCAGCGCAGTTTATAATCGGATGCTGACGCCACACCACCGCCAATCTACCGTTTGACCGCACACCGAGCTCAGCTGGCTCGGCTCGCGCACCGGACGGCGTAGTCTCCCTCCCCATTACTGCCCCCCATATTGTCGGGGCCAACAGCAAACACGCGCTCTCCGGCCCAGCCGCAGTCTGCCGAAGGAGACAGCACAGTGCTGACCGCCCGAGACGCCACCCTCCCCACCAGTGGACCGTTGTTTGTGCTACGGGGCGCCCGCCCTCACCCGGCTGTGTTTGAATAGCACACTGCGGGCAACTATCGGCTGAGGTTCGACAACCACAGCCTCCGCGACGGGCCCAGTATGAGCCGCGACGCCCTTACCTCCCCTGTACGCGCCCCCGCCCTCCACTGGGCGCTGACAAACTCCAACCAAGTGACAGAGGTGAGTCGACGCCCATTCTCCTAGTGTGTGATCAGTGCTGTTTGCCAACCAACCCTGCCTCCTGCCTGGCGTCTCGTGGCCGCGGCCTGGCCTGCCTGAGCAGGCCACTTTACGCCGCGTCCCTCCTGGAGCACCGATCACTATAATAACATTCTGTCCTGTCGGGTGTGATTGGCGTAAGGAATGGAGGAATGGACATAACGTGAGAGGGACGGCCGGCCGATCATCAGCCAATGTAACGTTCGAGCAGAGTCTGTGCGGCGCTATAGTTAACGGAAGATAACGTTGTTATATGTTCGTTAACGGGCTAGCGCCGGACAGCGGCGAGACGGTCCTCCGAATAGCCGCGCCGCCGCCCGGGGCGGCCCCGCCGGCGGCGCGGCCCTCTCGGACGGGACGGGAGGGGACGGGAGACGCTTCCCCAGTGCGTGGGCGCTCGGCGCGCGCGGCGGAGGCGCGCTCCGGCGCGCCGAAAGGAGCGTCCGTCGGGTTCGATTTTTTTTTTCTTTCTTTTTCAGCTCGTCGACCGTCCCTCTCACATCGCGTAAGGAATGGAGGAATGGACATAACGTGAGAGGGACGGCCGGCCGATCATCAGCCAACATCAGCAATCAGCATCGACATAATAGCATACTCAACTGCTTGAGGTGAAAATTCCGACAAAACCTATGCATGCGGTACTACTTGGCACGCTATTTGGATTATTACCACTCGTTCCCCACCCACCCATCAAAGCTCCTGGGGAAACCATGACCACCAGAGCGGCTCATACCTGGGTAGCCGTGTAAGTCATTTTCTATTGAGCTCTCACATACGAGCCCCGATGGACCACCCACGACAAACTTGCTGAGAATACAGCAGCGTCACGCTGATTGGACCGGTCTCATGAGACACAAAATACCACAGTAACGCAGAGGTCCGATATGTATTGCTGTTGACTGTGCCTAACATTGCACTTACAAACAATGGGGACAAACAATCTGAAAACGAGGCAACACGGCATTCAAAACAAACAGGTCGGAGATAAAGCAAATTTGTGAGCAAGGGGTACAAAACCATGGTCACTTGCAATACGGGAATCAGTCCACATACGCAAAATCCGTTTGTGTAAGCGATCTTCACCAGTCCGTAACAATCGCGACGAAACACCATTACAACATCCCGACAAACATTTGTACTCCATTCAAATCCGACGAGCTGGCCAGCCCAGACCATTCAGAAGACAAACTTTTGAGTTCGGATCGTTCCGAAACGTCCCTCCCCATGACCACCGCGAGGGTCGAGAAGCGGGGTTCCCACAGTCCAACACACATAGGTGATAGACCAGCGATCACAGACTGTAGCGCCGCTGCGCAGAGGATACCAGCGGTAAACTGAACGTCTGCACTGAACTTCCTGAACAAAGACCCATCTGAACTACCTGTCAACAGTAACATTCTTGCCGTGGCTTGATGGACTTCCAAAAACTCTACGGGGAATTCAAGAAACACCCACCACAATCCAAGATTACTACTCCCACAATCGTCCCAGCAGGGGCGTGCACGGCACATCACAAAGTCTACAACACCACCAGACACGACTAGAAGACTATCACCAGCACTTGGGCGAGACTACGCATCAGTACCGCCCCCAGACAGTTGGGGAAAGTCGCTACAATAAAGGCGAGGGCTACCCCGCAATGCGGTAAATATTACGAGTCCCGATCCCGATAAGGCAAAGATTAGTGCTCCCGGCCATAATATAAACCCCCTATTGCGTAATATGGGTGTATGGCCTGCGCATTGCTGCGTCACCGAGATATAGCATTTAAATAAATATTTTCTAGTTGTTAGAACACTCGCAAGAAATATCGAAGCTCGAAGAACTGTGACATACAAAGCAATAGTATTGCACGCTAACGGCATTCGTTGAATCTTAATTGGCAGACAAATGAAATTTGAGTAATTAAACTGGTACTTGCACGATGACAAATGTCATTGCAAGTTACAAGACCACCGCAACGCTGAATCGTCCTATCAAGAATTGATCTGACAGAAATATGACAGGAACATGTCCCGTTAACACTTATCTCGGTCACCTCAACTAACCCTTCATGATGTAGCGGTACCAGTAACACTCAATTCCCTTCCCATAAATATTGCATTGTTAAACCACCACCGCTCTATGCTCGTAGCAGTCAGAAGCGGCGGTCCCTTCCCAGCCCTTTACCCCTCCCTCCCCAAGGAGCTCGTAAAACTAGCTCCGTGCCAGGCGGGGTCGGCCCCCGCACACTGGCACCGCTCACATACGGTCCTGACCGCGTGCCGCCGCAGCCAGGCAGCTCAGGTTCAGAACACGTCGCGCCACCGGTACCGTCTCCCCGAGCGGGGAACGGGGGACGGGACGAACGGGAAGGGACGGGAAGGGGGCGGGGGACGTGGGGCAGGGGCGTGGGACGTGGGGCAGGGACGTGGGATGGGTAGGGGGAGGGCCAGGTACTCACTGGACAGTATCCGTCCGACCCAGCTCGCGCGCACGATCCGCCAGCTGACGCACCCCTTCAGAAGCGGTGATGGTGTGAGCGGATAGGTAACGCTCGCTGTTCTGTTGTGTGTCCTCCAGAAAATACCTGGCGAGAAGAGCGTTTACGTTAAAAAGCAGGCTAGGCTAATATGGGGCAGTACATGTAAATGGAGAATATTATGCATGTGGAAAAAAAGAATGCCGAAAGACCCGACTATCGATATTGCACACAGTCGTACAGAATGTAAACGAATGGCATATCATCATGTAGCGCATTGGATTTATAGCCTCTTCAAAAAACGATTATGTCAAGCACAATAAATCCCTGCAAAGCACTGCAACTATCAACCACACGGCGCGACTGATTCACAATCAGTGCGCCCTCGTAACATCACCCGTCACCCTCACCCACCCGTCCGGGGGGTGTCCCGATCCTATCGTCCCGAGCCCGCCGTACCTGTAGTTGACCATGATGCCACAGGAGTTGGTGAGACCGCGCGCGGTCAGATCAGCTCGCCAGTTCAGACGCCACATCACCGCTCCATTGCGCAGGTGGAAATTTGCTGTAACGAGCCCGACCATGTATTAAAAACAGGCGGAAACTGCACTGGTTTTGTAGAAGAGAACACATGTCAAAGTTCAAACACACCGGATTTCACGACTGGTAATAACATGTCATGCGTGGCGGAGTGGCGGATGAATAAATGGGCCAGAAATCACGCTAAATTGAGGCTGATTGGGAACTAGCATGTCAGATGGTTTCATTTTTCAGTTGGCACTGGCACACATGCGATGGCAATTGAAACGGAACATGCGTTAAAGTCAAAACCAATTTCGTGTGGGATACCATAAAAAGGACGACAGCTGATTGATTGAACTAGGATAATCATGACGACTGCTTGCTCTATGTAATTCCAAATCTTTGGACTACCGACAAATTTAACTCGACACGCAGCTATCGTTGCACATTTCCATGGCATGTCACCGCTAATTTGCCCATGCACTACATTCTGCTCTGTTGACCCTACCCTCTCCCATATCCCTTTGCCTCTCCTTCCTACAGCTCTCGTACCGACACTGTCCAGCGCCGACCCGCGGCGTTTCTCCGAGTAGAGGTAGCGGGCGCAGAGTCTCATCAGAGGCGCCTCGAGCAGCTGACACAGCTCTCCGCCCTCCTCCAGCCAGGAGCAGGAGGTGACCAGCCGGCGCAGCTGCGCCATGGTGCCGCTGGTGCCCTCCTGGCACTCCGTGAGCTCCGCCAGCCGGGCCAGCTCAGAGTCCGTCAGCAGACGGCACTGGCCTGGTGGAGGGCAGGGCCAGGGGGGGGGGGCGGGGGTTGGAACAGCAGCTGATACCGGTGTACCTGGCAGGCCGAAAGGTGAAAAGGTCGTCACTCAGCACGCAACACTTTGAATAAAGGTCTAATGATTTGTACATGTCGGCAGTGACCGTCAATGACAGACGGTGACACCTCTAATGAACTTCCTTTCCATTTCGGTACACATCTCAAAGCAATGATCATTGATCATTGATCATCCCATCATGTCACTAATTCACTAGAACGGCTTATTATGGGCTCCTCAGCTGCCACTGACCTCTCTCTGCCTTGTTGATCTCCGTGGTGAGCCAGCTCTTGAAGCCGGGGATCGGCGAGAGACTGGAGAACTGACTCAGCTGAGGGTACTCCGCCGCCAGCTCACGCACCACGCGCTTGATCAGGTAGTTACCCAGCTCTATACCCTGGTGGACAGAGTAGAATACTCATATTATGAGCAAACGCACCCTGGTGCCAGCGCACTCGAAATAAGAGCATTGCCATATTGATTAGGTGCAGCAATATGTTTCTTCACTCACATGCGCAGCTACTCGCAGACTCAGTTGCCTAGCTTGGTGCAAACATGATTCTACCCCAGCTAGTTAAATAACAAAGTCACGACAGATTCGTGAATTTTAAAGGACCGTTAATAATGAATCAAATGGTAAGCCTAGCAATGCACCCTTTTACAATATTGCAGCTGATTCTCTCAAATCAAAGAGATCCGCGCAGTATCTAAACAGCCAGCAATTACGGTCTACAGAGCTGGGTTAACAGCTCCCGCATCGCTCTTATAAATCCACTGCCAATATAACATAAAAGACCATAAGCCCTTCTGAAGGTCTAAGTGGGAGAGGCGCGCTTGTAAAAGGTGACGGAGTAAATTTCCACACCGGCGTGTTGAAATGGCAGTCCGAAGGTTCTGCTTCCTACCACCCACAGAAGACCAAGGTTCAGGGTGCAGGCTTTACATTCCTCTATCAGGGCTGGGGAGTGCCGACAAATGGTACGGCGTTTGAAGCATGCAGATTAAGACTACAATTTCAGCTTCTGCGAGCGAACTATTCGCCTCTACCGACAGTGGTAGCGGTCGGTAGAGACCGGTCGGTAGAGCCCAACGCCGTACCTGGAGGCCTTTCTGGGTGGACGAGATGGAATAGAAGATGGCGGCGGCGATCTGACCAGGGTCCTCATCCTTCAAAACGGCGTCATTCGAGCCGCCGTGCAGGTAGTCAGACACTGGACGGAATCAAAACGAGCGTGTGTCAGTTTGGAACTCACGGCGAACATTCAGCACTATAACATTAGTTGAATTATCTTTTAGGATGGTGTAGCGTCCTGCACGAAAACGATAAAGTGGGTAAATTGGATAAGGTCCAAGGGCATACCCTACCCCAATTCCCATTAAACTACTAAAAATTAATTAATCATAAACGCGTCTGATTATTCGCCGAACTATTTCCGCTATATTATACCCTTTACCTATAGGTACTATTCATTATCTGCCTAGCTATCAAGAGCACTCCCACTAAAACAGCCCAGCACAAATCAATCCCACCCCTTTCCTCTGCTCTCTCTCCCCTGCCCTCCACTCACGGGAGAATCGCCTGGGTTTGCGGACGATGTCCTGTATGGAGCTGGAGATGGTGGGTGTTAGTGCCGTGTGCAGCACCACCACCGGCTCACTGGGCATGGCGTGGTGGGTGAACACGAAACAGCGCCGGTACGGGCCCACGCGCCGCTTCAGGTCCGTCCAGTTCCGGACCGGGTGCACCGCCTCGTACTCTGACACCTAGCGGGCAGCGGGGCGGTGATGGGTGGGGGCCACTGGTTTAGGTCATAGTGGCGCTATTAAACAAATAATCCAGATACGATACATCATAATGACACTCTTAGCAGCATGCGAGAAACACACGATCGTGATAAGGTAAACCTATCACTACCTCAGCCTGACAAACCGAGACTTTTCACAAGCTTTTCCTTCACTTCCACACGTTTCCTCAGAACGTGCCAGACCAACAAACCACTACCACCCCACCCCTCCAAAGCATATGCTGCCTTATTGCGCACCTGTCCGACGAACCCTAGCTGTTTCTTCCCTTTCATATCTTCCTTCGGTGCCTACCTTCTCCAGCATAGCGCACGGCGACTCCCACGTAATCCTCTCCAGCTGCAGGAAACCCACAGAGAACCAGAGCGCGATGAGGTCCTTCAGGGCCGATCCCAGCGAGCGGAGCCGGGGCACGGACGGGTCGGACGCGTCAGTCACCGTCAGCGTCCGCTGAAACGGAGGTTAGGGGTGGCAAGGTTATGGCGGTGCTGGAGGTGGGCCGTGGGGGTGAAGAGGATGGAGAGCGAGATATGAGTGAAGAGGCACGGAGAGTGAAGGGTTTAGGAAGTGACGCTACGATAGGAGCGTAGCCGCGGTGTGCAAGTATGAAGGTTGATATGAAGGCAACACTGGTGGAAAACGGCGGCAATGTGACCGAAAACACAGCATAGATGTCGTCATTGACGGGAATCAAATCATAAGAAATAGTTTGCTCTTCAGCATATGCACATTGCACGTCCTAAAAATTTTCCGTCTAGTGCACATCAAAATGTTAATAAGTCAGCTGCTAATCAACAATCAGCCAATGGCATCGCAAATTGGATAGTCACAACCCTAAGATAGTCGGTACCGACAATTAAGCAAACCACATCAAACAAGTACACAAGTCTGGCATGGTTCAAGCACCAAACAAGAACACCAGCCAAGCCTACTATAATAAAAAACATTATTCATCTTACCAGCAGATGGGCTCTCATGTCCACCAGAAACTTGACCCCTCCTTCGGTCCTGCCGAGCTGTTTGAATATCCACACGTAGTCTGGCTGGAGAAGCGAGGCCAGTCCCTCTTCCCTCTTCAGAATCTGAGCTCCTCCCTGCATCGCATAGGCGCAGCAAAAAGCCAACAAGGCGTGAGAAATCATGGTAGTGTAAAATCGCTGAAGCATCCATGCATCACATGATACAGTCATTGGTCACCTAAATGTCAAGCTCCACGGGAAACTTTTGCGGTGTTTCGCTTCGCTTTCGATTTTTCGCTTCGGTTTTATGTTTTCCAGCTTATCTTCTCGAAACTTGCAATCTTTCGAGTTTGTTTAATTTGTGTTTTAATTTCAAGAATTGTACCGGTTCGCTCAAGACGTCAGCAGATATGACGTTGTCACTGTACTAACCTGCGTGCCGGCCAGCTCGGCGGCCGCGGCCAGCACCTTGCTGTGGTCGACGCTGTGCTCATCAGCCAGCAGACGGAAGAAGTGCTGGTGCTCGCTGGGAGCCAGCTCGCCGTATGCCGCCACCACGCGACGAGACAGTACCTGTGGGCAGGCAGTCAGAGGAACAATGGAATGCATAGCTAGAGCAAAAACGAGCGTTATGTGAGCAGTGTGAGAAATGAAAATGTTTCTGCATATTGCTCGATTGTTTTGTATGAATTCAATGGTAGGAAAAAGCGTTACTTCTGGTTCTGTAGCAAACATTCAAGTTTCAACAGTCAATACTATGCTAGGTGCTATCAATAAGGTGAACAAGATGTTCTGTTACTTCTGGTTCTGTAGCAAACATTCAAGTTTCAACAGTCAATACTATGCTAGGTGCTATCAATAACGTGATCAAACTGTGGTGCATCACATGCTTAAACCACCCACAAACATGCTAAAGACGCACCTCGAGTGTATGCGGCGGCTTGTTCTCGTTCCTGGCGGTGACCAATCCCCGCAGTGTGTCCTGCAGATAGCCCACCAGGGGCGGCAGCGGCGGCGGCTGCGGCGGCTGCGGAGTCTCCTCGCTCGGCGTCTCCTGCTCAGCGTCTCCTTCAGCCGGCGGCGGCGGCTCGGCGGGGGTGAGGACGATGGCGGGCGGGTCGTCGTTCGGCGGGCCCGACAGGCCACGGCACGCCAGCCAGCCGGCCGTCGGCGACTCGGAGAAGAGCAGCAGGTTCTCGGCAGACGGCGAGGCCAGGTGGACAGGCTCGGCGCGCTCGGACGGCACCCGGACGCCGGGCGTCGGTCGCGACTGCGAGCGGAACGCGGCCATGGCGGCGCGCCGGCGGCCCGAGCTCAGCGGCCGACAGGCGGCGGGCGGCGCGAGCGCGGCCGACCGGCCCGGCACCAGCCGCGGCGCACGCAGAACCAACAGCTGGATCGGCGAGCAGCCCGACACGATCATACCAGACAGCTGGGGCACTGCAGCACAGGAGGCTGAGTCAGCAGGGAGAAGTCTTCCTCTCCTGAAGCCTGAGTGATATTTGGAGACTAGCATTAATTATGGATTTAATTATAAATGAAAAGTAAAAGCAATGATATGAAAGAGTGCTGTTAAATGGCAATTTACATCAGAGAAATGGCAAATTGTATACTGTTGCCTTAAACTCAAATCCCATTAACCCTCGCCCTGGCAGGGCATTTTTCATAACACGGCCTGGCAGGGGGGGGGGTCGATGCGACCCCCCCTCGCGATTGGCTCCTATGGCACCTAGAAACACCAAATTTGGTAGGTAGGTGGGCCCCCTGGAGTTCTCGCCCCTGTGCAAATTTGGTTGCTCTAGGTCAATATTTAGGGGGGTTTGGGGGGTATAAATGTAAAAATTTCGCTAAAACAGGTCAAAAGTTTTTCGCTTATAACTTTTGATCTAATTAAGATAGAGCAAAAAGAAAAACACCAGTGAACTCAGCACGTCAAGGCGCGTCGAATGATATACTTTTTAGCTTGCTTAAGTGTACCTGAAGTTTTTCTTAAATTTTAAGTAAACTTAAATTAATAAGTTAAGTTCAAGTTAACCAAATTGCATCATATTGCATATCATTCGATTCGGCTGATCACCAGGAACACAATGATACTATTTTTTAAGCTCTAGCGTCATTATGTGCCAAGTTATTGGCAAAAACGTCATTTGACCTCAGTTGACCTCATTTGACCTGACCCATGGATAAGTACACCAAACAAAGAAGCACCAAGTGACCTGCTGTTAGGTACTGTGGTTTCAAAGCACAAAAGTGCTAGAACGAAGCAGATATCTCCAGTATTTTCCGAATTTAGTATTTTCCCATAGGCTTAGCATTACGATGTAATGACCTCTAACTGACCTCAGGTCAGTGACCTCAAAAAACCCAAACTATATGTTATACAACTCGGTGAACTTAGCACATCCTGAAAGTTTGAAGGAAATCAGTCCAAAACTGTGAGTTGGGCAGGTGCAAAAAGAAAATTGAAATTTGACCATGACCTTGTACCGGTTTTTCTGACCTGGTGACCTGACCCAAGGTCACCCGGACCTGAAATTTTCAGGTCATATGTAAAAAGGTTGCCCCATAGGCTGTGCCAAATTTGGCGGCGCGCAGCGCCGAAGACGCTAACTTCGAAAAACCTTAGGGGGGGGGGGGTCGCATCGACACCCCCCCCCCCTGCCAGGGCGAGGGTTAATTGTGGTAATTAAAAAAACCTTTTTTCACAAAGCTTCAAAGCAGCATGCATGCTTACAAGGATGTAAAATCATGCAACATACAAAATGAAAAAATCAATGATATCAAATGTGAGCATTGTATATTCATGTTGGTAAAACATCAAACAATGGTTGCATGCCTTGCACTGAAAGCAGGAAAAGCCATGACACAACTCATTTTTCCTTCAACAACTATAAACAAAGCAAAAGCAGAACCCAAAAGATGTACATGCTTTATCTAACTTAGTTTGAGTGAGAGTTACACTGTTTTTCTTACTACTATAGCACTAATGTTGAAGACATTGTTTCTATGTTATCCTGGTTTTAGATCATTGAAGTCACATAAAGTGTAACAAAGCTAGAAACAATGCAGGATATTTAAAAAAAAACTTTTGAAAATATTGATTTAAAGGCAACTAACTTCAAGTAAAATAATGCTTGGTTTCTAACAGACAAAATAAATGAGTTTTCTAGCAACTCAAACTGAACTCTCTAAGCACCGCTCTCTAAGCACCGCTTGTGGTGCAAGCTTTATAAATTCCACATGGCTTAATGTATTACAAATTGATTCACTGTGCCTAGTTGAGTTTGTGGCTTTTCCTTATTGTTATGTTTAGCCTTCAGAATAATATCAGGTCAGTTAAAAAGCAGTGAGAAAACGAGCCTCACTCAAGTTATCGTAAATAGGTCTGTTACTGACGATTGACATGATTCAATTGTTGATTTTCACATAGCATGCTACATTCCTACACTCTGTGGTGGCAATTGCAAGACACACAAAGCAAAATTAAATTAAAATCCAAACAAAGAGTGGCAAAAGGTGTTCATATCTACTAGTGTCTATAGGTACCAGAACGTTTCTTTGAACGTCACAGTGAAGGTAGAGCAATGCTGTCTGTGCTACATGGTTGTCATTCAGTAATTATATAAAAGAGCAACTTAACAGGAATAGTCATATATGAAGTTTGAGGCCCAATGTTTGTCAAAAACTTGAAGTTGAAGAAGGCATGGGAATTGGGGAAAGTCAAAATGAGGTAGCTTGACAAATTATCAACCAATGACACTGGCTGAAAATAACAATTAACAAATGCATAAAAGAAGTACCCAGAATTAGTAAATAAAGGTCAAAACACCTGCAATATTCATCATAACCAGATCAAAATGTCAAGTTAACTGTTAATGTGCTCCAATTTGAAAATTCCACATATCTATAAAATTCGAGGTGTAGAAAAAGTAAACACCAGAGTTGTAGCATCAGCGCCAGTAATGTAGCAAATCTTTCAGCACAAAACATGACCAGTAAAATATTTATGGTTATTTTGATATGATCTTCAAAGGTATTCCGTATTTCAGAAATGAAATTACGAGAAAAAAAGACAATGCCTGACAATATGTAACATCTTCTTTTGTTTCTAACCAAATAAATAAGATTTAGTATTACAATTGTTTGTCAATCAAAATACAAATGGTATTGAGTCAAGGCCCTTGGCCATGGCTAGTAGTGACAGTGAGCACATCAGTATACAGGGTGTCCGGAAATTATTTGCCCCTCCATCAGCTCGCCGCCATAATTGGTAAACAAAGAGCGCCCGGGTCATTATTTATTTACCAATTTATCCCCTACCCTGTCCTAGTCCTACCCATTCCCTCATCCGCTTTAGCATTCCATTCAGGGGCGTCGACACCGGTCCGACTTTTCCGACTAGTCGGACCACTTTTTCGACTGGGCGGTCCCCTGCTGTGGCTCGCGGGGGCCCCTGCTGCAGACCGCGGGGGCCCTACTGCGGCTCGGGGGGCCCTGCTAGAGACCGCGGGGGCCCTGCTGCGCCTCTGGGGCCCTGCTAGACACCGCGGGGCCCTGCTGCGGCCCACGGGGTCCCCTTCTGCGGCCGCGGGGGGCCCCCGTTGGGGATCTCGGGGGCCCTGCTGCGGCCACGGGGGCCCCTGGGGCCCCCACCGGTGCGGGCCCCCCGAGAAAAAGTCGGACCTGTTTTCCTTACGCGTCGACGCCCCTGATTCCATTGATCAAGATGTCCAGAGTATCCGCGCTGATGTTCAGCCACACCTTTCACAGGTTCCTCTAAAGTCTGCTTTCTGTGGGAGCTGGTTCAATCTTGTTGAGCTCTTCCCAGGGGCGTAGGATCCTATACAGTTGGGGGGGCTTCAGCCCCCCCAACTGGCTGGTCAGCCCCCCCAACTTGCCAGTCAGCCCCCCAACATTTTAAAATATGGACAAATCAAAGAAAGCTCAACTTGGCAAGGTTAAATGGCACTATTTGGGGGAGTAGTAAAGCAGGCGTCACACTTCTTTTTGCAACCAAGGAGAGACACTGTAGGTTAGGCTGTAGGTTGTAGGTTTTAGGTTTTAGGTGGTAGGTTTTAGGTTGTAGATTGCAGGTTTTTGGTTGTAGGTTGTAGGTGAAGTTAGGTCAGGTTTGGTTAGTTTTGGTTTGGTTTGGTTTGGTCCGATTAGAAAGCATCTCTGGAGTCTGGGTATAGCGCCTCTCTGCTTTACGACTACCCAATTTTGGCTTTAACCCTATTCCTGGCGGGGGGGGGCCTCAGGAGCCCCCCTGAGGTTTTTTGGTTATTTCTCCCAAACGCGTTGAGCTAGGAAGCTCAAATTTTCTGACTTTTCCTACAAGGCTTCTACGCAACATGTCTGAAAATTTTGAGTTGATCTGACCTCAGGTCAGGTCACCAGAGGCGGTTTGGTGACCCTACCTCAGAAAAGTTTGCAATCACGCCAGAGCTAGAGTTTTCGACCGATCAATTTCTTCTCTTCAGGGTTTAGTTAGGGTACCAGTATGTGCAATTTGTTTATCTCGGAATTTTGATATCGGTGACCTAAGATCAGGTCAATTTCGCGACCTCCCCATTATAAGTCAATGGGGGAAAAACCAACTCCCTGTTTTTACCACTAAAACGGGTCGGAATGGCCCCATATACCATACATGACTTCATATACGATCAACCTTCACTACCTTGAGGTCTGTTTTGCTGTTGGGCAGCTGTGAGGTCATGTCACGTCATCAAAGGTCACCAAAGGTTTTTGGCCAATAACTCCGTACAGGAACAAGATACAGACGCGTGGATGGTCTCATTGTGTTCAGCTCGTCAAGACGCATCGAATGATATACATGATGACCTCGAGGTCACGTGACCTGAGGCCAACCTTTGACCTTGACCTTTCGAGGTCAACATATATATATCATTCGATGCGGATTGACGAGAGGATCACGATGATGCCCTTAGTTTGTTCCTATCTTGACTAATTCGAAAGTTATTCGAGAAAAACTCTCTCCATATCTAGCGCCGCCATTTTGACTTTTTCGACCCCTGTGACGTCATCTTTGACCTGACCTGAAAATGACCTTAGTAAAAATTGTAGATCTTGACCGTGCGTATCCGATGCCGTTTACCGCTTGTCGCTATCTTGCTTCGTTCTCGAGATCTCAGGGGGGGGGGGGGCCGAATCGGCCCCCCCCCCCCCGATAGTTTCTTGTCCCGGCGGAGCCCGCCAGGAATAGGGTTAAGTCAAAACTAACTGGGGGCCTTGAAAATGTGCATTGCAATGGAGGGAATAAATTTAATTTATAAAATGACTTTCGAGTCATAAGTAAGAACATACTAGCAAAACAAAACCAGGAAGGTACACACACATAAAAATCAACTGTGGTTTTAGCAAGCCGGAGGCCCTTTGCAGAGATGAAGTCCTCTGTAGAGAGGAGGCCCCCTGTAAAGACTAGAGAGGAGGCCCTCTCACTCTGAAGAAAGGATACCCTCAAGGCTCAAGGCCATCTATGGATGCCCTCTGAAAGGGATAGGCCCTCAGTAGAGAGAAGTCCTTTGTAGAGAGGAGGCCTTCTGTAGTTGAGAGGCCCTGTGAAAAGAGGAGGCCCACAGTACAGCGGTGGTCCTCTGTAGAGAGGAGGCCCCTGCTTTTTTTTGCAAATTGTACGCACAGGTCGTTACGAGATCGTGACTGTAATTACACCAACCGTGTCAAATTGAATCGGAATTCATATGTGTAGGTACTGTGGAGTGTGAAGGAACTCCGGCTTGAACTACCATGCTAAAAGAGTTGTAAAATGTGTGATTTTGAGCTTTGTTTTGACAAATGCTCTTGCAAATTTTCTCGGCGCTCCGCGCCTCCGATTCTTACACCAATCAATAAGAAAGATCGTGACTGTAATAACACCAACAATGACAAATTGAACCAAAATTCATATGTGTAATGTTAAGGAACTCCGGCTTGTACTAGCATGCTAAAAGGGTCATAAATTTTGTGTTTTAGAGCTGTGTTTTGACAAAGTTTTTTTTTTTTGCAAATTTTCGCCGCGCTTCGCGCCGCCGATTCATAAACAGGTACAGTCCACAGCAGAAGTAATGTGGGGTTTCAGTCATGGGTACGCTCTGCTTCTGAAGCTTAGGAACGATTAACCAGACTACAATGAAACTTTGAATGTAGCTTATATGTATCGTCACTCTTGCAGCTGCAACTTTAGCTATTGACATCTTCTTTTCGATCACTCCGCATTAAACAATCGCCAGTCAAAGCCAACCGTTGAGATTGGTAAAACCCTACATTACTTTAGCGGTGGGCTGTACCTATTAATAGGTACAGATCGCTACTGTATGCTTCTAATGCATTAGGCTAAAAGTGCGGTAACAATATCAACTTTTGGGTTTTTAAGTCGGTCGATACGTCCCCCCCCCCCCCCCCCGTGAGAAATCCGTGGCGACGCACTTGTTACGGAGCGAGCGAAGCGAGCGTAGTCTTTCCTTTCTGAGTATGAGCGTCCGGCCGGCCGGCCGTGCGGACGCTTTTGCGAGGCTTATATCTCAGCAACCACTTGACCGATTTACATGCGGTAATTTTTGTAGGGTAGCTTCATTCCTTCTACCAAGTATTGGATTATTCCCGATGCATGTGGGTGACCCCTTATGCACGTGCCACGTGCAAAACGAAGAGGTGTCAGTTTTGTACTTGTTGCAATATCTCGGTAATTACTTGGCCGATTGCGCTGAAAGTTGGCATGTAGGTATAGGCACCCACTAGGCACTGCATATTCATGTGCCAGAGTTGGGGTGCTGCTGCACGTGCGCACGTGCAGGGGTCGTTTCCAGATCTCGAGAACGGCTGGACCGATTGCGCTCAAATTTGGTACACAGTAAGGGGCCGGTTAGTAGGGTGCCGTGCACAAGTCACTTGGGACCCATTTTGCACGTGCGCACGTGCAGGGTGCCGCTTCCAGATCTCGAGAACGGCTGGGCCAATTGTGCCCAAATTTGGCACATCGCTAGAGACCGGTTAGTAGGGTGCCGTGCACAAGTCAGTTGGAGGTACCCCCTCGCAATTTCGCACGTGCAAGGCCCACTCTCTCGCTCGCTCCGTTAGTCGCCCCAAAAGGCGTTATACTGGTATAGGTGAATTTAACTAAAACTACTGAGCCGAGTGACTTATAACGATA